ATCTAGAGCTAGAGCTAGGGCTATCTAGAGCTAGAGCTAGAGCTAGAGCCATCTAGAGCTAAAGCTAGAGCTATCTAGAGCTAGAGCTAGAGCCATCTAGAGCTAAAGCTAGAGCTATCTAGAGCTAGAGCTAGAGCTATCTAGAGCTAGAGCTAGAGCTATCTAGAGCTAGAGCTAGAGCTATCTAGAGCTAAAGCTAGAGCTATCTAGAGCTAGAGCTATCTAGAGATAACTAGAGTTATCAAAATCTAATCCTACAGTACTACTATAGTACTCTCGACTACAGTAAACAGGTGAAGGCTACACAGTTATCTAGTACTCTTCCTAGTACAAGTGACAGATAAAAGCTTTCATTTACCACAGTATATCTTAACTTCTAGTACTAACACATCGTTTTTTTTTTTAGCTTCCCTCACCCTTGAGAACTCCTCACGAAGCGATCCGGATCGAGTTCTACAGAAATTGATCTCATCCTGAAGAGCTGATTGGATATGTTGCATATACATGCACAACATTGGCACTGCGACGATGGCTGTAAGAGTGGCGACTGTGCTGAAAAAAACTACACTTTAAAATGAAAAGCTATTGTCAAAAGATCTAAGAGAAAAATCTCTTTTATTCTAAGCTTCTATTCTATGATAAATTGCTGATAAATTTTAAAGCTCAATAACTTTGCCTAAAGATGATATCATTCTTAACTTTTTATATCATTGAATAGAGGAGATTTTAGGCTTTTAAATGATACTAGACATGGCTTGATTCGGCTAAAAGCTCTAAGGAAAATTAGTCTCAAAAGATCTAGCAATCAAATGTAAGAAAGAAAAGACTTTAATCGCTTAGCGTTTTAATCGCTTCGAATCGCTTCGAATCACTTCGAATTACTATGATATTTGTTTCTAGTTGTTGTTAGAACTAGTTCTAGTAGTTGCTGTAACATCATCAGTAGATTTTTGAGGTGTTTGAGAGTGACAAAAGCAAATACACAACTAAACACAAATCTTCTATTGCTTTAGCACTTCTAAAGTGTCCTAATCCCATTTATCTGGAAGAGATGATTGCTAAAATTTAACCCGCAACCTCCTGACTAGGATACAAGCCTCTTAACCATTTGGCTACAGCATCAAGAGGCTCAGTGATCAAATGAGTGATCAACTAAGGCACTCACCTCACAGCTACTCCAAAGAAAGCGAATTTCTTCACTTGTTCCACCAGCTCCTCCTTGATCACATCTAGAAAAAAAGGATAAATAAGTGAATCTAAATCTTTTCCTTGTTGTGGAAAGCTTTACATTTACATTAGTCAATCAAAAACTAATAAAAAGCTCTATAAGGATAAAGCATTTAAAAGTTTACAAAAGAAAAAAAAGCTAAAAAGCTAAAAAAGATAAAAATTACCTTTTGGTTTATCAGCACTCATCTCGGGAGCCCTTTAGGAAAATTGAAATAATAAAATATTCAGTTAAGCAGGGGGATAAAGGGGAATCCGACCAGGGGATCTCGCAATTCCCCTTTTATATCAGAGATGGGCGATCGGTTGGAGAAGGGAGAGCCAGCCTACAGGCCACTTTTTCTATTCAACCCTAAAAAGTGGCCGCTCTTTCAAAAACTTCATAAAAACCCAGAGAAAAGAGAAAAGACAGGATTTGACGTGTTTTTTTTTTTGCGGAGCAAATGAATGGTTGGAATTGAGTGTGAGGAGTGGACAGAAGGGGACTGAGAGATTAGAGGAATGAGGCTGAAGAGCAATTCGAATAAGAAATCGCTTCCATTGCCATTCCTCGTCAATGATCCGCTTCTCTTTTCTTTTTTTCAACAATTCGATCATTTTTTTTGATAATCGAATCGATCAAGCAACTTTAGTCGTCTTTTTTTCCCCGGATTACTCTACGAAACTGCAAAGTATTTCAAGAGTTGAGTACTGTAAACAAGGACAATCCGTTAGTACGTACTTTCACAGTACAAAGGACAATCCGTTAGTACGTACTTTCACAGTACAAAGGACAATCCGTTAGTACGTACTTTCACAGTACAAAGGACAATCCGTTAGTACGTACAAAGGGTACTCGGTTTGTTATACATTCACAAAGACAAAGCTTCGTTTAAGCATCCCCATCCGAGTCTTCTCGGTTAACGATTTTCGTTTGATTGATCGACTGATCACTTCAAGCAAGCACTCTACTTCACTGAACTGAACATAATCACCGCTCACACGTTGTCAGTTCCTTGCAACCGAGTTGAGACTCTGTATAGCCGACAAGTATCGTACAAAGTACTATAATAGTATTAGAAAGAAAGAAAGAAAGACAGGAAGAAAGAAGGTCAGAAAGAAAGAAAGCCAGAAAGAAAGAAGGCCAGAAAGAAAGAAAGCCAGAAAGAAAGTCAGAAAGAAAGCCAGAAAGAAGGCCAGAAAGAAAGAAAGCCAGAAAGAAGGCCAGAAAGAAAGCCAGAAAGAACTCCAGAAAGAAAGCCAGAAAGAAGGCCAGAAAGAAAGAAAGCCAGAAAGAACTCCAGAAAGAAAGCCATTTGTTTTAGAAAGTCAATCGCTTAATCCTTGAGCACACTACAGTACTCCTAATGTTTTTTTCTAGTAAAGTAAACTTTGACAGACTTTGACCGGCTCAGGATCTGGATTATTGAACTAAACCAGTCATTGATACCGTAACCTTTAGCCGCCCAATACCAAGCTGTGATTTCGACTCAAAACTCTCTTAGAATAATCGATTCAACCCAGCTTCTGAACTTGATTCAGATATACTATTCGGCTGATACAGTAGTACCGCAAACAATTTGCAAATTTCCAAAACTATTGGCCTAGCAAACTTTTGTCTTCATTCTTAACCCTGGCTTTCATCGAAGTCTTGCAAATCCTTGCAAAAAGTCTTTGTTTTTCAATTTTTCAATGTATCGCCTAGATGCAAGATCGAAAATCACAAACAAAACGCAAACCCTTGCTTGAGAGAAGCAAGGGTTTGCGCATCAATCAAATAAGGCAAAAACGTCAAATACCACAAATAGAATGGGAAAGGAGACTGTAAAGCAGCAATCCATTCTCTCATTACAGTATCTACTATATGTAAAATGGAAGTATCCGACCGTCTGTCTGTCCGTCTGTCTGGCCGTCTGTCCGTCCGTCTGTCCGTCCGTCTGTCCGTCTGTCTGTCCGTCTGCCGCCGTTGTCGCGGGTCGTCTGTCCGTCTGTCTGTCTGTCCGTCTGTCCGTCTGTCCGTCTGTCCGTCTGTCCGTCTGTCCGTCTGTCCGTCTGTTTGTACGCGTGAGTTCCTCGGGGGCCGATTTCCATGATTTTTAGTTTGTTAGGCTTAGAATTCTATGTAGTTGTGCATCTCATATTTCGTTATTTTAAAAAGCAAAACTCATGACAGAGCCGAGAGTCGAACCCGGGTCCGAACCCGAAACCAGTGTTGGTTGTAGACAAGGCGCTTCCGACTGCGCCCGGCGACAAAGCGGTTTGGTCAGTAACCGTGGGTTTTTCGGTTTATATTGGATAAATATCCGACGAAATATTCAGTCTGATACCGGGAGACTTTCAGGAATCTAGAAATAAAGTAAAAAAGTGGGGAAAAGTGCAAGAAGGAGGGGGAAATTGGCTAAAGTTTATCTGTTGATAAACTAAAACCACCTGGTGCACAAGGTGGCCAGTGTTTGTGTGTGTGTGTGTGTGTGTTTTTGGTGGGTACTTTGTGCGCAAAATCGAGAAACCCACCATTTCTAGCACACCAGAAAGGATAATTTAATGTTTTGATGTAAGTTTTTGATCAAAAATCTTTAAATTAACTAGAATTTTTTGAAGAAAAAAAGAAAGATCTCAATCTGCTCATTTCTTTGAGATTTTCCTCAAAGAATCTGCCTGACTTCTTTACGTCGATTTGATTGGATTCACTTTTGGATGGATTGAAATCGAAATGGATAAATGGATTGAATTTTCAGTTTTACAGCTCGATTCAATCTCATCCTTTTTTTCTTTTTTTTTTTTGTTTCCAATCATCCAATAGCATGAAAGCATCATTTTTGGCAATCTAATTTCAAATTCTAATTCGAAATTCGAAAAACCCTGACATTTTCGCGTTTAAACATCCAAATTTTAGCATTTTTAGCATTTTTAAGTTTTTAAGAAAATCTTTTAGAATTTCAAGTTACAAGAAGATTTTTGGTTACAAGAAGTTACTTACTACAAGAAGTTACTACAAGAAGTGACTTACTACATGAAGTTACAAGAATACAAGAAATCGAAGCGCTGACGGAAAAATGACTTCAAATCTAAACTTCTTTTGCTTCTTTTCCTCAAATTAACATTATTAGACGCAGAAATGGTTGAAGTTTTCAAAGTTGAAATGAGATTGGAAAAAAAAATGACTCTAGAAAGAGTTATTGTGATGGTAAAGTGATGTTGGTTACCTCTGTGCGTTCTTTTCGTGTCTAGCAGCGTCTAGCAGCGTCTAGCAGTGTCTAGCAGTGTCTAGCAGTGTCTAGCAGTGCCTAGCAGTGTCTAGCAGCGTCTAGCAGTGTCTAGCAGCGTCTAGCAGCGTCTAGCAGCGTCTAGCAGCGTCTAGCAGCGTCTAGCAAACAGCTTTTGATATATAACTCAAGCAGCTAAGCCTCAAGCAACTAAGCCCTTTGTTTCAATTCAATTACACAATCTGTTCTTCTTTGAAGGTTTCCCCATTTATTTGCATATTTTTATTCTTTGAATGAGAGAGAGAGGAAAAAGAAAGAGAAGTTATTGCAAAATAACTTAATAATTTACACCGGTATGGGTGATTGGAGGACTGGGAAATGTTGGAGAAATGGGGAAATGTTGAGGGAAGTTTTTCAGGAATGGCTGACATGATGAAAGACATCTGAAAAGACAAAAAAAAAAGAAGAAAAAACGTGATAAGCTTTCCATCGAAATCAAAAGAAAAAGAGGAGAAGAGAGCAAGGATTGCATCAGCGTCGGCATCAGCAACAACACCACTACTCGATGAATGGAAACAATCGAATCTAGTAGCCGGGAGCGGTTCTTGGTGGTGGGCAGTCTGAAATTCAGCATTTACTTCAAGCTCTCCACCGTTCTAATTACGGGAAGATTAGCCTCTAGTTCAGCGCCGTTTTTTCCATTCAATTACCCAATAAGCTCATTTCTTTGAAACTTTGATAGCGACGTCAATTCTACTGAAGTATCGCAGGACTGTCGTTAATTCTAGCGTAGCTTAAGCGCTACTTTATATTGGTACGGTAGCAGTACTGTAGTAGAAGGACTGTAGTCAATTCTAGGCACTATTGTACTATGGTTGCTGTAGAAAGTTATACTGTACTACTGTAGCTAGTTCTAAGGACTACTGTAGCTAGATAGGACTACTGTAGCTACTTCTAAGAGCTCTAGAGCTACTGTAGCTACTCCTAAGAGCTCTAGAACTACTGTAGCTAGTTCTAAGAACTCTAGAACTACTGTAGCTAGTTCTAACGTAGCATAGGTACTACTGTAATTAAACCTAGTGTAGTAGCTAGTATTACTGTACTAGAGTACTCAATCCCAATCAAATTCTCCTTCCAATCTAGAAACTTACGATCGCAAGAGCCCTTGAGTCCAGCGTCTCCAGCATTTCCTGGCTCTCCAGGGTTTCCAGGGTTTCCAGGAGCTCCATCTTGTCCAGCATCTCCCTGTGGTCCGGGCTGTCCAGCAGCTCCAGGGTTTCCAGGGCGTCCATCGGGTCCAGGTGGTCCACTCTCTCCAGCATCTCCAGGAGCTCCTGGGGGTCCTGGTGGTGAAGGCACTGTGCGCACTTGTCCAGGTGGTCCGGCTTGTCCAGGTTGTCCATCTTTTCCACCATCTCCAGGTGGTCCAACTGGTCCAGGAGCTCCTTGAGATCCTCCACGTCCAGGTGGTCCTTGGTCTCCAGTAGCTCCAGGGTTTCCAGAAGGTCCCTTGGGTCCTTGAGGTCCAGTTGGTCCAGCAGGTCCGGCTGGGCACTCGAAGCAGAAGTCTTCGGGCTTGGGCACAGGGTGTCCCTCAGGAGCATCAGGTCCAGGGTTTCCAGGGGCTCCAGGTCGTCCATCGTTTCCAGCTTGTCCATCTTGTCCAGGCTGTCCAGGAGGTCCAGCGGATCCAATTCCGCAAGAGCAGCACTGGTAGGCTTGACGTTTCTCACGTTCCTTCTCTCCCTGTCGGTAGTGCTCGAGCTGAAAGTGTTGGCTTTAGGATTGGCTTGGCTTAGGGTTGGCTTAGGCTTGGATTACTGTCTCATTTAGTCCAAACCAACCTTCGTGTACTCTCCGCGGAGTCCCTCGGCACGAGTGCGGCAGAAGTTGATCTCGTCTTGCAAGTTGGATTGCACATTTTGCATATACATGCACAACATCGGCACAGCGACAATGGCTGTGAGAGTGGCGACTGTGCTAAAGATAAAAAATAGTTTTGCAGTTGGTTTGTTGTGTTAAAAAATCGTTTTGAATCAAGATCAAAAACCGAGGCACCGGTGGGACTCGAACCCCCGATCTCTCGCTTACTGGGTAACAGTGCTAACCATTACACCATAACGCACTTGACATCCCTAACTCCAGAAGGAGTTAAGTGTTTATGTTGTAACTTAAAGCAATGATAAGCTGAAAAACGCGTCTAGTGGCGGGTTTTGGGGGTTAAATGTTTGACGGTTCACGCAGTGACCGTGGCTCAGTCGGCAGCGCGCTGGTCTACAACCCACACGATCAGGGTTCGACTCCCGCTGGGGTCACTCAATCGTTTGTTTTTCATTTCTTTAGTTTATCGTCTTTATATTCTAAGATAAATCTCATTTTTGATGATCTGATTAGGTCAAGAAATCAAAGCCGTTTACTTTAAAAGGTTTTCACAAAGTCAAAGCTCGAATCCTGGCTAATTTTCTCGATAATTAAGCCTAATCTAATACTGTACTGTAGAATATCTAGTGTCTAATTGATGTCGTAATTCTTTAGATCCATGTGTAATTGATGTCTAAACCCTTTATCCCTAATGTCTAACCCCCAGGAATCATAGAGATCTGGCAAGCTTTACAATCCAACTTCAAAATGCTATCAGGCAAAAAGTCTATCGGAAAGTCGTGCTATTTGAGATATATCTATTTTTAGACACTAAAGACATAAGAAATCTAATAGCTGAGATGTTCTTTAGAATCTTTAGAATCTTTATATATGAGATCGAGGTCAAGAGAGAGTTTTAGACTTAAATAAAGCAAGAGCTTTAGATAAATCATACTTAGGATCTTTCTAATTAGATCTTAGATGATCTTAGATGTTTATAAGGATCTCATAGAGATTCTAGATCTCATAAATATATAATAAATATCTCATAAATATCTAATATCTAATAAACATCTCATAAATATCTAATAAATATCTAATAAATAACATTTTCTATGTTTATACGAATCTCCTAGAATTTCTAGATCAAATCTCGAATCTTTCAGCTCACCTGACAGCCACTCCGAAGAAGGCGAACTTCTTCACCGACTCGGCCTCGACCAACTTCTCTTTGTCGCTGCTCATGGCCACTACCTAGAGTATTAGATAAGTGGAAGAGCAAACGACAAGAAAAAAATGAGAATAAATGTATCTATAAAGCGTAAAAGTCTAAAAGTCTTAGTCAAAAGTCTTAGTCTAAAGTCAGTCTAAAATCTTAGTCGAAAGTCTTAAGCTCTAAAGTCTTCGTCTAAAGTCAGTCAAAAGTCAGTCAAAAGTCAGTCTAAAGTCTTAGTCTAAAGTCAGTCTAACGTCAGTCTAAAGTCAGTCAAAAGTCTTAGTCTAAAGTCATAGTCTAAAGTCTTAAGCTCTAAAAGGCTCGTCTTAATCTCATCTTGAGCAGCAATGAGTGCTAATGGCTGGAGAACTAAAGAACTAAAGAAAAAGATCTCAAGAAAGATCGAAAAGCGCGCGCCCGCCTGGCCGATTTTCAATCCGGTAAGCATCAAGTACTGATCATCCTGGAGAAAGAAAATGGTGACAATTGAATGAATGAAAAAAAATGGAGAAATGAGCTGCTAGTGGAGGCGATGAAAATGTGGCATCGGGGTGGGCAAAACTAGGGCTTTTGTAGTGGATGGGTGGGGTGGGATCTCACTGGGAGAACTGGGGGGAGAGGACTGGCAAGCGGGAGCCTGGACTCGAATCCAATGCAGGGTGCAGGGGTAGGCTGTGGCTGGGGTAGGGGCACTCCTAAAGGGCACGGCCGCGCCCTGCGATGGCATCTCCAAGCAACAGTTCCTCTTTCTCCTTTCTTCAACAGTCTTCTTTTGACTCGAGATCATCACTACCTTTCTTCTCCCAATTCTCTTTGAGTTCTTGGGTATCAATCAAACAATCCATCAATGGCAACCAACCATTTCTCTTTGCTAGATGATCGACAAAACAACGAGTCACAAAAAGGAGTTCAGTACTGATCAGTTAGAGTTGGAGAATGAGTTTTTTTGAGACAGAAAGGTTTTTAAGTTAAAGCTTTGAAACCTAGACTGATTCTGGCTACGGTAAATGAGTCTAAACTGACTCAGAATACGGTAGATGAGTCTAAACTAGCTCAGGATACAGTAGATGAATCTAAACTGGTTCAGGATACGGTAGGTGAATCTAAACTAGCTCAGGATACGGTAAATGAGTCTAAACTAGCTCAGGATACGGTAGATGAGTCTAAACTAGCTCAGGATACAGTAGATGAATCTAAACTAGCTCAGGATACGGTAGATGAATCTAAACTAGCTCAGGATACGGTAGATGAGTCTAAACTGGCTCGGGATACGGTAGATGAATCTAAACTAGCTCCTGATACGGTAGATGAGTCTAAACTGGATCAGGATACGGTTGTTATCTAGAATTGGACCTGGTCAACACCTTGGCTCATTTTTGGATCAATCATTTTTGGATTTTTGGATCATCGTACTCCCCAACTCAAAATCAGTCCCGCTTTCTAAAAGGTATGCTTAGAAAAAGCAACAGTACACTTCTTTGCTTTTTGGGTTAACCAGATTAACCCGGAATCGACATTCATCTTGATTATCTGGCCATTTAGGATCTGGACTACGGTAGCTTTGGAAAACGTTTTTTGTTTTTTGGAAAACGGCTTGAGCAAATCAAAAACAAAACCTAATTCTAACAAGTAGTTTTATTTAACGAGAAAGCTCTCATTTTTTAGATGACTGTAGGATTCGACAGATCTAGAGAGACAGATCATTGTAGCAGGGTCACTGTAGCAGGGATCTAGATCTAGATAGACAGCTTCTACAGAGCTAGATAGACAGCTTCTACAGAGCTAGATAAGCAGATTACGATAGCAAGAATGCAAAGCCAGATCTTGAACTTAAAAACAACGTTTATTCCAATAGAAAAAATGTGAAAGATCATCGAAAATGTTCAAAGAAAAAGGAAATCTTCTTTTTCTCCCGTTTTTGCATACCCATTTCATCTTTTTTGCATTTTTTTCACTCAATTCTTTCCCTTTTCGACCTCAGAAGTGAACCTTTTCTCTCAGTTTTCCCTCAGTCTTCAACTCCAAACTTTTTCAATTCAACTTTTTCAATCTTAGTGATAAACTTGGTGGAACCATTTTTGCATTTTCCCGACACTATAGAGAAAAATTCTTTTATGATTTCTTTAGGAGTTAAGTCATTAAGTGAGACATTAAGGAGGCTTTCACTTACAAGGAATAGTCGATAAAAAGTCGCCTTGATGCTTTGGGAAAGGTCAGGAATGGAGAAGTTTGATGGAATTTCGGGAAACTTTCGAGTTTTATCTTATTGGACAAAAGATTTGAAAAGATTCAAGCTTTTTAATGCTATTTAAAGCAGAAAGAAAGCCTGAGATTTGGGCTTTTATGAATGTTGCATTGTAAAAGTGTATCTAGCTACAGTATCTCAAAGGCTACAGTATTCCTCAGCCTATAGTATTCCAGTCTACAGTATCCCAGAGTCTACAGTACCCTGAGATCTACAGTATCCCGCAGCCTACCATACTCTGCAAGCTACAATATCCCAGAGTCTACAGTACCCTGCAAGCTACAGTATCCCAGAGTCTACAGTACCCTGCAAACTACAGTATCCCACAGCCTACCGTACTCTGCAAGCTACAGTATCCCGGGGCCTGCTGTATGTCGGAATCTACAGTAACCCAGAGCCTACAGTACCCTGCAAGCTACAGTATCCCAGAGTCTACAGTACAACTACAGTATCCCGGGACCTACTATATCTCGGAATCTACAGTAACCCAGAGCCTACAGTACCCTGCGATCTACAGTATCCCGCAGCCTACCGTACCCTGCAAGCTACAGTATCCCAGAGTCTACAGTACCCTGCAAGCTACAGTATCCCTCAAGCACCCCGGATCCTCTCAATTGATGAGGAACACACCCTTTCTGGCACAGTGAACTTCTCAGTTTTCTATAGCAGAGTGTTGCGAGAATCAAAGACATCAGAAAGCGTGCGTTTAAACTTTAAACCACAAAGCACAAAGAACAACTTGTTCCTCACCAAAAATCGAGATCCAATCCACTTATCCCATTCACTGTTTTCCCTTCTCTTCAGATTTCACTCCAAAAACAAACCCTTAAGCACTTTTCCCCTCCATTCTCAACACCAAAAACCTATAGCCAATGGGTGATTGATGAGCTCTCACAAAGAAAGAGTTCTCATTTATCGAAATGCTAGCTTTTTTTTGTTGTTTTTTTATGTTTATACATTCACTTTCACTTTTCAAAGGGTTATCCTCATTGCATTCACGTGAATTGCTGAATAAAGTTGGGTTTTAGAGGTAACCAATCTCAATTTGTAGAATAAAGTTGGGTTTTAGAGGTAACCAATCTCAATTTGCTGAATAAAGTTGAGTTTTAGAGGCAACCAATATCAATTTGTAGAATAAAGTTGGGTTTTAGAGGTAACCAATATCAATTTTTATGCACTTCTAGAAATTTCTAGATCTAGATTCAATATGGAAGCAATTTACAGTAATCCTGAAGATCTATTGTTCATCGTAATCCCTTTAGTGCAAAGGCCAAGTTACAGTAAGCAATGATTACTGTAGCTTTTGGTTACTGTAGCTACAATGATCTGTGATTACTGTAGCTGATTCCTCTAGCTGATTCCTGTAGCTGTTCCTGTAGCTGTTCCTGTAGCTGATTCCTGTAGCTGATTCCTGTAGCTGATTCCTGTAGCTCTTCCTATAGCTGATTCCTGTAGCTCTTCCTGTAGCTGTTCCTGTAGCTGTTCCTGTAGCTGTTCCTGTGGCTCTTCCTGTAGCTCTTCCTGTAGCTGTTCCTGTAGCTATCAAACTACAGCTACAGCTTTTCCTACAGTGAAAGTGTCATGGTTTTGAAATCGCATCAAGTTTTGAAAAAGTAAACTACCGTAATCCAGTGACAGAGATTACTGTAGCAGAGAGAAATTGCCATCACTTGAACCTAGATTTTACTTCAGATTACTGTAAAAATAAGAGTTTTCAGTGATCCGCAAGAATTGTATGCACCTTGCCCTTTCTCAAAGTACTTTCTCAAAGTTCAAACCTCTTCTCTTTTTTTTCGCTAAAAAACTTTTCCAACACTTTCCCAGTTTGAGCAGATTAATCGGCTACGTTCTTAAAGAATTCTCTTCAAATGAAGAGCTATCGATGACAGAAATGGGGAAAAGAATCGGCTAAAAGTGGACAGCGGGCAATGCTCAGATCAGATCCACTGTGTAAATCGAATGACTTTTTTTTCCCCTTTTTCGCTCATCTCTCCAGTTTTTTCAGTGCTTTGCCTCGAAAAACACCCGTTCTTCACCCATATTTCTCGTTTTTTTCTGCCTTTTTTGCCTTTTTCTGCCTTTTCTGCCTTTTTTTGCCTTTTTTGACTTTTTTTGACTTCACCCACAGGCGGCAATCGCTCAAAAGCGCAAAAAAATGAACGACTTTGATTATGAGCCGCGACATTGACACGAGTTTAGATCTGAGTGAGAGAGAATTGAGGCTGATGCCTCATTGGGGAACAAATGAATCGGCTATCGGAATGGGGAAACGAGTGTTCAACATTTCTAACCGTTTACCCCTTTTCTCTTCAATTTTCTGCCACTTCTTGCATTTCGGATAGGGATTGTTTTAAATGTTTTAAAGGTTTTAAATTTTTAAAAGAGATTTATTCACGAATAATGTGAGAATACAAAAGCACAAAATCTAGGGAAGAAAAAAACCATAAACAAAGCCAAAAATCTGCACCCGGGATTGAACCTTCGACTTCTTGACTTAGATACAAGGTTCTTAACCACTCGGCCACCAGACCTAGTTGAACGGGATGGCTTTTGAGGACTTTTGAAGCTTTGAGGGTAACAGCTTGATGATCTTGATGATCTAGAAAACGAGCGGGCCGGCTAATATCGGCCTTTTCTGGCTGGCCAATCGTTGTCGGCGTGGCGCAGTGGAGAGCGAGCTGGTCTACAACACAAACGGGCGGGGTTCGATCCCCCGTAGTGATAGAGTGGCTTTTTTTATTCTTTTTTAGTCCATAGATATTATCTTAAGATTTTAATTTCCAA